CAATTTAGGGTTTAGGGTTTAGGCCAAAGAGACCAATGCCCCTTAATTACGCAATAGACCTTAAACTATAAGGGGCTTCATATTATGACTTAAGGTACATATTCCTTAAGTATTGGGCTCTCTGGGTGCATCAAGGAACCCTAAGGGTATAGGGTTTAGGGGTTTAGGGATTAGGGCTTAGGGTTAGGGTGGTCATGACTCCAAACCCTGTGAAATCAAGTACATGCAGAGTACCGCCGTGGGCCACCGCCAAAACCTGAACATCCTGAAACCGAATCCCTGAACGCCATAAAAACCCCGTACAACCAAAAAAAAGCCATTACAACGACTTCTGAAAACCTGTTGGAGGAACCCTAAAGTCTAAACCCTACCCTACTCAACCTTAAACTCTAAACCCTAAACCCCCAACTCGCAACCCTAAGCCCTAAACCCTACACTCTAAACTCTAAACCCTGAACCCTGTAACCCTCATGATAAGGAACCTCAAAGGAACCCTGCAAGGCGCCTGCCACCTTAGCCTGAGAGCTGAGGACATCCAACTTCTGCCTGGGCGAAAGGGGGGGGGGGCTTTTTAAGGTCTGTTCTAGGGTTTTTTGCCTGGGGGAGGGGATTTTAAGGTCTGTTCTAGGGTTTAGGGTTTAGGGTTTAGGTTCAAGGTTTAGGGTTTAGGGGTTAGGGCTTAACAAGTTTGGGGTTTAGCAAGTCTGGGGTTTAGGGTTTAGGGTTTAGGGTTTTGAAGTTTAGGTTGTAGGGTCTGTTCCGGGCTTGCTGTAAGGGCGTTCTGGAGTTTGTGAGGGCTTGATGTGGTCTTACTTGGAGGCCCAGGGACCATAGTAAGTCGGTTATAGGTAGGGTTATAGTTGCGGGAACTCCAGCTAGGGTACCTATAACTTTACTTATATTCTACTTACTAAGTCCCCCTGGGCCTCCAAGTAGAGGGTGAAGATGAGGGCTCAATGGGCTGGGGTCTGATAACTTTAGGCCTCCATGTGCCTATACAGTAACATAGCATATTCACCCGTAGGCTCCATTGTAGTTCCTTTTTGGGATTGCTGTTTGGATGTTAAATATAAGCCGCAAGAAGGAACTACGATGGAGCCTATATAGGCCTGAAAGTACCTGTATAGGAACCCTTTTCAGGCCTAAGTATATACTCTATGGGCTCATGGAGCCTTTGGGTCCATGGCCCCGAAGCCCTAAACCCCCAAGCATAGACCACCCGCACAGCCTGAACTAAACCCCGGCTGGCTCCAAAGTTCATGGTTGAGGGCGTTCAGTGGACCGTTTAAGGATTTGGTCTGTCAAGGATATTGCACTGTTGCAGATGCTTCCAAAAACCATTTTAAGAACGGTACTTGATCTGCCTGTCGGTGCTTAGGCTTTTGCATGCCACTTACAGGGTCTTGGTAGGCTTGATTGAGTCTTGCTGCAGACTATAGTGGGTTTTGCAGTGCTCGGTGTAAGGTGTTCCTCTGGGATGCAGGCTGAAGTGCAGCTGCATGGTCCAGGGCTTTGGTCTTTCATGGTCGGAATATTTAGAAATGGCATCCCCTCAGGGGCTCGAACACTGCACTAGCGCAGATTGCGAAGCCCCCAAAACTCCCTTGCACGGCCCTGCGGGGAACGGAGTTCGCCACGAGCCGGCTTTACGGCACGGGCACTCTGACCGAGGACGAGCTGACCAACGCGATTGCAGTGGTGACTGCCATCATCGCAGTTTTTTGGGCTGTCTCCTACAGTGCCTTCCTATGCGACAACATGCTGGTGATGGTTGTGTTCCGCCTGGGATGAGACCTGGTACATCCTCAACGCCGTCCTCTTGAAGGTCGGTTACCAGTTGAACCACTTCATCGAGATTGTCTTCGATACCGAAATCCCTGCCCAATTGAACAGCTCACGGAAACGGGTGGCCGAACGACGATAAGCGCACCAGCCTTTCTTGGATGGGCGGGTGGACGCTTTCTACTCGGGGCATGGGATTACTTGGGCCCCGTTCGTCGGCACTTTCATGGCGCGCATCTCTCGCGGAAGCGCTATCAAAAATATGGTCATGTACAGACTGCCCTTTATGTATGCTGTGCTGTGGTTTCGGTCGAACTGTAGGTCGAAGTTGTTCGTCAATCCGTGTAGTTAGGTTGTGGTTTAGCTCGGCATGTGTGCTTGTATATAAGCTGCCACTGTGCGTGCACGTATGTCTTGAGTAGGCGAAGTTCGTTTGATAATCGTGTGGGGTGTTGCTTTGCCCCCTGCCCCTGGAGGAATAGTGGCTAAGCTGCTGCTTGAGCGACCTCCAGCATGAAGGTCTGCCATGCTCTTCCGTTTGTTACGCTGAGTGCACACCTGTCACTACTTGGAGGCCCAGGGGACTTAGTAAGTAGGTTATAAGTAGAGTTATAAGCACCCTAACTGGGGCAATTCTAACCCTACTTATAACCGACTTACTAAGTCCCCTAGGCCTCCAGGTACCGGGCGCTCTGAATCAGCCGGGTCCTTTTAAGTGCTCTGAGCCCGCTGGGCGTACTCGTGGGTGCTCACGGAACGTCTCTGGGTGGTTCCTGATTTTCCGATTTGGGTTCGGGGAGAAGGCTTTTGATTCCTGCATGTTAAATCTCCTGTGCCCCTTGTTCCGTACGATTTGGCACTTTGCGGAGGGTTTCGGGTTGCTCAATGTCCTGCCTAAACGGGTGCCTGTCCGAGTGCATGCCACCTGTAATGGATCGTGGACTTCTGCGCCGAACTTCTGTCCTTGAACTAGGTGCAAGCCGTGTGCAGTTTTGGGACGGGCCTTCTAAACCCTAAACCCTAAACCAAGAATCGGGAACTGCATCCCCTCCATGGTCCCGACATAGTAGGGCTGCAACCCCCTGCACAAGAGCCTTCACAAACGCCGGAGCCCTGAACTCTTTGTCCTAAGCCGAGACTCCTACACGCCCGAACTTTAAGCCTGAAACCCTGTGCTATAGAGACCTTTATAATTAGAATCAGGTTTTGCGGTATATTCTACTATAATTATAAGAAGGAGCCCCCAAAATAATATTAGAATAGGGTTTTGGTGTATATATTATACCATAGTTATAATAAGGAACCCCCACAATAGTATAGGTAATTATTTAAGCCCCTACAGTAGCCCCCAGCCCATACGCCCCCAACCCTGAATCTGAAACACAAACCCTTGAGCCCCAACAGCCCTAATTAACCCGGATGAACCGTATCAAGATCCATCAAAGACCCTATTGCAAGACTTTCTAAACCTTCGTGAACCCTTACGAAACCGTGCAATAAACCTTGCGAAACTCCACCTTGAACCCTAAACCCTAAATCCGAAACCCTCAACCCGAAACCCACTTGTTGCAGCCAGTCAGGCGCAATGGTGATGCGCGGGACCGCGGTCACGTCGATGAGGGTGACGCCCGCGGCCTTGGACTTCTCGCAGATGTCCTGAAAAGATGGTTAGGGGGTTTCGGTTTTTCGGGCTCGGGGTTGAGGAGCTTAAGGGTTAGGGGGACGGTTTTAGGGGTTTGGGTTTAGAGTTTAAGAGTTAGGGGGTTTTAGCGTTTTGGGTTTAGAGTTCAAGAATGTTTAAGAGTTAGGGGGTTTAAGGCTTTTGTGTTTTGAGTTCAAGTCTGCAAGACCTTCTACGGAGTTTTGTCGAGCTCCATCAGGATTTCAAGAGGGACTCTACAAGGGGTTTCGGCTGTTGGGTGTCAGGCGTTTAGGGGTTTCGGGTTTGGCGTTCGGTTACAAGGTTTAAGGATTCAGAACACCATGGATCTGAGCTTGTCTCTGCAACCCGCTGAGTAATGAACCCCGTTTCTCTTTGAAGCCTAAATATTCGGATCCCAGTCCCATTTGGGGAAGGGGCGGTTGATTATTCAGTGGTCTACGATATCATCCCTTAAGTGATATCTCCTGTAGTAAGGAGTTTGAACATGGACGGGATGATTCGTGCGAGTATTCCTTTAACACTCTACCTGTAGCCTCAAACCCTACCAAATAGCCCTCAACCCTAAACCCCAAAAACCCACAAACACCCACAAAATAGTGGGCTCTGACCGGCCCCGAGCCCCTGAAAAATTGTGCTTTGGGATATCGCCAGGTACCTGAGAGTCACGTGGATAATGATGTTCCAGCTGTTAGCGGCTTCTCCCTTATCAGGTTTCGGGTTTACGGTTTAAGGCTTACGGAGCATGCGCCAAGTCGACCGTACATCTATCACCACGTGAAAATGGACGGCTCCGGCTTACGAAGCAAAAGATTCTGCAAGCACGAGGCTGACTGTGTCCGGGGTGCAACGGTGCCTTCTTACCAGGGGTGTAGGTTTAGGGAAGAAAGGTTTAGAGTTTAGGGGTTTAGGNNTAGGGGTTTGGGGTTTTAGGGTCCACGGATGAGGTTTCCGGATCCCTTGCCGCAAGAAAGCTCGAGCGACTGAGGAGGATGGTATCCCACACCGAACAGCCGCGTATGCCCTACACCCTGAACTCCAATCCCCTGAAGCTCGACACCCCTAAACTCTAAACTCTAAACCCCAAACCCTAAACCCTTACTAAACCCTAAAACCCTAAACCTTAAACCCCTGAACCCCGACACCCCTGAACCCCAAGCCTTAAACTAAACCTTTTTCCTGAAGCCAAAGATGCTCTGGCACCCCGTGGAAAGCCCTACCTCTCAGGCTCATGGGTAATGATAAGTGAGATTATAAGTCCCTAAGATGGGTTCCTTTAAGGGTTCTATAGGGTTTGGGGTTCAGGGTAGTTATAAGTGGGGTTATAAGCAGGGTAACTATACTTTACTTCCCCAATAGGCCATAAAATAAATGCTCAACTGAATTATGATAACCCAAAAAGTTCGAAGGTTGGGTATTGGATAACTAAGTTGAGATACTTATAGCCCATATTAGGGGGACGTATCAGCCCACTTATAACTACCCATGAAACTCCAAGTACTTAAAGGATCATGGGATTTAGTAAGTCGGGTTAAAACTAAGGTAACTATACTTATAACCCATGAGGGGACTTATAACCTTACTTACTAAGTCCCATGAACCTCCAAGTAGAGAGCCTCGAAACCCCCAAACCCTAAACCCTAAACCCTAAACCCAAAACCCTAAACCCAGCCCCGCGGATCCTTGCCCTTGTCCAGCAGGCGTCCTACCCAGGAGATGATCACCTCCCAGCTTCGTTTGTGGCCACTTTGGAGGCTTTTTAGGGTTTAGGGTTTAGGGTTTAGGGTTTGGAGGCTTGTTTTGGTAAACCCTAAACCCTAGAAACCCTAAACACCGGAAGCCCTAAACCCAACCCTAAACCAGGTTTCGGGGTTTCGGCGTTATAAGTGTTCGGGGTGTAGGAGTTCGGAGTGAGGGCTTAGGGGTTAGGGGTTATTGTTAAAGTCATGGTTTGGGGTTTAGGGTTCAGGGTTTAGGCTTTAGGGTTTAAGCTTTTGAAGGAGACATCTCGGAACAAGGTCCGATGTGCTACTAGATACTCGGTGCTGCAAAAGATGCTGGACTGCCCGCTAGTTGCAAAAACTTCACAACTCAAACCCTGAAC